GCCTCAGCCTCCCAAAGAGCTGGGATTACAGGCGTGAACCACCGCGTCCGGCCGGGAGTGATCCATATTAACAATTCAAAGAAACAGTTCCCACACTTAGGAGAGTGTTAGTTCACTCACAGCAGTTCCCGACTAGCAAGACAGCACAGAGCACTCTCCGATTTACATTCACTTCAATCCTTTTACAACGCCCAGAGGCTTCTTCACACAGCCTTATGTGGCTGTCTCTAATTCTTACAAATTACTTGATGCATGGGGCCCTTCCTAATGGGCCCAATACCTTTTACGACTGATGAGTCTGGCTGGACACATCTACACACAGACACACATCCACATACAGACACACAACCGATTGCTGTCCTTCCAATTCAAAACCATAAGCAAAAGCTTCCAAGGTTACAGAGAGCTACCTTCCAATGTGCTGATCTGGCACCTGTGGGTGATCAGGCCACACTTCCACCCAAAATGGAGTGGGCAACTTTCCCATGTACGACGACACAGACACATATCCACACACAGACACACATCCGAATGCTCTCCTTCCAGTTCAACAGAGAGCTACCTTCCAACGTGCCGATCTGGCACTCGTGGGTGATCAGGCCATGCTTCCACCCAAAACGAGGTGGGCTACTTTCCCGGGTACAATCTTACCAAATTGCTCGGTGACACAGACACACATCCACACACAGACACACATCCAAGTGCTCTCCTTCCAGTTCAACAGAGAGCTTCCAACATGCCGATCTGGTACCTGTGGTGATCAGGCCACGCTTCCACCCAAAACAGGGTGGGCTACTTTCCCAGGTACAATCTTACCAAATTCATTGAGCCAGACTTCCCCAAATGCTCGTTCCTCCTCGGTGTTCAGCCACTGGGTGGATCCGCACTGCAGGACCTCCCTGCTCCGCTCTGGCGAGGCTTTTCCACCGGGCAAATACCTGCCCAGGAGCGCTCTCAGGATGCGTCACCCCAGGGAGCAGGAGTGCCCCCGCAGGGATGCTCCACAGGGCTAGGCAAACCACCTAAGAGACTTTTTCCCTGCCATCTGCTATCCGAGACTCGCTTCCCGGCCAACGCACCAAAATGTAGCAGGAGCTGCCGCGGGAAACGGATCTCTCGGACACCGAATATTGGAGGAAGGAGTTTATTCGGCCGGGAGCCAGGTGGCATATTTGCCTAATAGCCAAGCTCACCTAACAAAGGAAGGTTCCTTCTTTACATAGGCTTATACTTTAGATGTTACATGTGGAAGAATCTTAGGTTTATAGCTTAACATATGAAAAGGGTCTCAGTTTACAGTCTTAGGAATTACATATGAAAGGGTTTCAGTTTACGGTCTTAGGAATTACATATGAAAAGGTTTTCAGTCTTAGGAATTACATATGAAAAGGGTCTCAGTTTACAGTCTTTGGAATGAAAAAGGGAAGTTTACAGTCTTAGGAATGAAAAGGGGAAGTTTACAGTCTTAGGAATGAAAAGGGGAAGTTGATCTGAGATGCCTGGGTCTCCCTCTTCAATATAAGTGGAATTATGTAGTTGTCTTTTTGTGCCTGGCTTTTTCACTTAGCATAATATCCTCTAGGTTTAATCATGTCATAGGCTATGTCAGAACTTCTTTCTTTTTTAAGGCTAAATATTCCATTGTGTGTATATACCATATTTTGTTTATAATCTATTCATTTGCCAATGGATACTTGTGTTGCTTCCATATTTTAGCAATTGTTAATAATGCTGTTATGAACATATTTGTACATATATTTCGTCAAGACCCTGCTTTCAGTTTTTTGAGTATATACCCAAAAGTGGAATTGCTGGATCATATCAAATTCTATTATTAGTTTTTTGAGGAACCACCATACTGTTTTCCTACACCTGATGTTAGCCAAAAGGCCCGGAAGGAACTTCCACCATACCGTTTTCCAGAGTGGCTTTGCTGTTTTCATCCCCATGAGCAGTGCACAAAGGTTCTAATTTCTCCACATCCTGGCCAACACTTGTTTTCTAGTTTTTAATAGTAGCCAGCTTAATAAGTTTGAGATGGTGTCTCATTGTAGTTTTGATTGGCATTTCCCTAATTATTAGTGATGTTGAGTGTCTTTTCATGTGTTTATTTGGCCATTTGTATATCTTCTTTGGAGAAATATCTATTCAAATTCTTTACCCAGTTTTGATTTGGGTTGTTTCTTTTGTTGTTTAGTTTGGAATCCTTAACATGTTCTTCTTGGGAACCAGCCCATCCCCGTACCTGGGTGCCCTTAGTCCTGTTGGTGATGGGGGATTGAGAAAATGAAATAAAGACAGAGACACAAGAGTAGAAGTTACAGCATGGGTCCAGGGGACCAATGCAAGTGTGGCAACCACATTGGCCCGAGCTTTGGGCTCCAAACACTTTTATCATGTGCACAATCTCATTGATCTTATGGGTGTGGAAAGGGAGGGTAAAGGAGTAGGTAAGATAGCTATGTCGAGAGCACTTGAGATCCTTCTAAGACATGCTAAACAAGTACTCTGAGCTTATCACCAATTGTTATCAGGGTGGGGTAGCATCAGAAGTATATCGGATTAGGAGCCACCCGGGTCTTACCACTCCCAATGCATCAAGGGGCTTTTATCTCCAGAGCATTGAGGACATAGAGCAATTAAAATCACTGCATATTCTGAGAACCTAGGCAGAGCCTGAGGTGTTTTGTGATCTCTGCCCTGCAAGGCTTATTCTCCTCCTTGCTAGCTCCCATCTGCAAAGACTGTCACAGATATTGTGAGCAGAGATCACCTCCTTTCTCAGAGATCTTTGCCTAAGCCCTTTTTACAAGGCCCTCATGCAGTCTATGTTGAGAAGGTATTCGTGGGACCAGAGCAATATTCCCTGCTCTGCAACCACCCCGAGGTGTTCCCTGGTGTTACTGTGCTCTAGGATAGTCTTTACCATAGGCCTCCTGTTGCTGCTTGATTTCTAATTAACTGCAACAATAATATAGTTTAGTTTGGTGTATAAACAGTGTACTGTGAGCCAATCAAGCTTATAATTATTTAGCTAGAATTAACATAGGTCTCCCCCTGGCCATCTTGACCCACAGTTCTGATACTAATTGGCTATCTTGACCCACAGTTCTGATACTAATTTCAGATCAAGAATTAACTTTACAACTTAAGGAACTAGAAGACAACTGCACACGGTAGCTCACACGTGTAAACCTAGCACTTTGGGAGACCTAGGCAGGAGCCCAGGAGTTTGAAAGCAATCTGGCAACATACTGAGACCCTGTCTCTATTATTTAAAAAAAAACAAAACAAAACTAGAAAAAGAGCAAATTAACCCAAACTTAATAGAAGGAAGAAAACAATAAAGATTAGGGAACTGATATTTGACTGCCTACTATATGCCTGTTTTTGTGCTAGTGATTTTCCTCTCAGCAGCCCTCTGAGGTTATTACCACCATTTCACAGATAAGGCTTAGAGCTATTGGGTAGTGAATACAAGATTCACACCTAGATCTAGCTAATTTCAAAGCCCTTTCTCTTTCTGCGTCACCTCACACCCTAAAGGTAAGCTCCCAAGAAAGTGACTTTTCTAAAGTTATGTACATAATACATGGCATAGCATGCCAGGATTTTAGATCTTCTGATGCCGTATCTATTGCCCGTTCCCCTGCTTTAGGTCTCCTTATTGTGCCTGGTGACCTCCTTAGAAAATGAATGTAGGAGGCAAGGAGTTGGTCTTATTTGAAAAGCACCTCATCCTTTGTGCATACACTTAAGTAATTTTGTCTTACTGTCTTACTGTACAGAAAGATGATTTACTCTCAGCACTGCCAAGGTACTTTTTTTCCTCTCATTTCACATATATTTATTGAAGATATATTCATATATTTATTGATCTTTTTAGTGTCAGTTATTATGCTATATTATTTAGATGGTGAACAAGAGAGCATTCCTTTTTGTCTTTGGAGGAAATTTCTCACCACAGGGATTTTGGTGCCCATTAGAGACCACCTCCCACTCTCTAAGCTAACAGAGCCAGACTATTTTTTTTGACAGTCTCACCTGCAGCTGGGGCCCAGGCACAAGACTTAAACTCAGACAATCATAGTTGCCTTCTCCAGACTTCTAATCAGGATCTGGTGATTCAGAAAAGCAGACAGGGCTGAGCCCAGTGGCTCACACCTGTAATCCCAACACTTTGGGAAGCCAAGGCAGGAGGATTGCTTGAGCGCAGGAATTTGAGACCAGCCTGGGCAACAGAGCAAAAGTTCATCTCTACTAAAAATTAAACAAAAGTAGCCAGATGTGTTAGTGTGCACCTGTAGTCCCAGCTATTTGGGAGGCTCAGGTTGGAGGTTCACTTGAGCCCAGAAGGTCAAGGCTGTAGAGAGCCATGATGGCGCCGCTGCATTCTGGCCTGGTAGACAGAGTAAGACAAAAAAAAAAAAAAGCGGGGGCGCGGGGCAGGTAGAATGAAAGATTCTTTCTGGTAATAGCAGTGGTAGCTCACTTTCCAGGGACTCCAAGAGCAGTGGTGCTGGCAGCAATGTTGTATGCCCAGTGTTGTTGGTGCAAGTTGCTGTGACTTGTGTCTAACATGACTATTCATTGGAGGTCAGGTACTTTTAATGCCAACAGCGCATTTTTTATTAGAAGTTAATGACATCAGAATGGCATAAAAAAGTTCTCATTTACTTTGCAGTATTTGTATGTAATGTATCAATTGAGAAAGCTGTATCTCCAGTGGAGGTTGCAGTCAGCCAAGAGTGCACAATCCAGCCTGGGCACCAGAGTAGAACTCTGTCTCTGAATGAATGAATGAATGAATGAATGAATGAATAAATAAATAAATAGAAAGCTGTCGTTCTAGAAGTATGGAAAATTAGTTTTTCAGAAATGATGCTATAGAATAATACTTGGATCATTGAATGTCTTTTGGGATGTTAGTTTTCCATGTTCCTGTTTGTTGGTTAGCTAAGCGTAGAACATCAAAGTGACAATTGCATCTTTTTTTCCAGGAGAATGATCCATCTGTGAGACTGAAAATTGCATCCTTGTTGGGTTTATTATCGAAGACAACAGGATTTTCACCAGACTGCATTATGGATGATGCCATTAACATCCTGCAGAATGAAAGTAAGTTGCAATTTAAAAGCTCTATAGTCAGAGCAGAAATGTTTAGTTCTTTTTGTGTAGAATTTAGGACAAAATTTTGTTGTGTTGATTGTTATTGAAAAGGAATTTGAGGATAATTTAATGAAACGTATATATATTTACATAAGAGTTGAAATACTGTTTTATCTCTTTAATAGCTGTCATTTATTTGCCAAGTACCATATATTTGAGGTAGTTTACATGTGATATAAGATAGATATTGTTGTGCCTATTTTTTTTTTTTTTTTTTTTTGCTTGTTTGTTTTTTTGTTCTGAGGCAGGGCTTTGATATGTTGAGCAGCCTGACTCCAGACTGGAGTCAGGAAGTCCAAACATGTTAATGACCCTTGCTATATATTACCCTATTGCTTTTCTAAAAGGATTATTTTAGCTTACACTAAAACCTGTAATTGAACATACATGAACATATAGTACTCATTTCATAAAGACACTTTTTTTTTCTTTTGAGATGGAGTCTTGCTCTGTCGTAGTGTCCCGATCTTGGCTCATTGCAACCTCTGCCTCCGGGGTTCAAGTGATTCTCCTGCCTCAGCCTCCCAAGTAGCTGGGACTACAGGCACGTGCCACCACACCCAGCTAATTTTTGTATTTTTAGTAGAGACAGAGTTTCACTGTGTTGGCCAGGAGGGTCTTGATCTCCTAACCTTGCGATCCGCTTGCCTTGCTTGGCCTTCCAAAGTGCTGGGATTACAGGTCTGAGCCAGCGCACCTGGCCGAGAGGTGAGATTTTAAGGATTACTAGATATTCAGTGGAGAGGGGTCAAGATTGGAGTCAAGTGTGGGGGAAGGTATTCTACATAGAGAAGTTAGCCTAAGCAAAGATAGGGGGACATGGAATTAAAAGAAGTTGGAAAAAAGAGTGTTAAAGGAGTTAAAGGAGACCTGAAAGAGATGAAGCTAGAAAGATAGGCAAGGGTAGACATTATGGAAGGCCTAGCATATACGCATTATATGCCTTCTAGGATATTTAGATTTTATGTTGTAGGCAATGGAAAACTTTTTTTTCTTTTCTGTTTCCTACTCTGAAAAAATTCTTGGCCGGGCGCGGTGGCTCACGCCTGTAATCCTAGCACTTTTGGAGGCCCAGGCGGGTAGGTCAGGGTAGATCACCAGATCAGGAGTTTGAGACCAGTCTAGCCAACATGGTAAAACCCTGTCTCTTTAAAAAAAAAAAAAAAAAAAGAAAGAAAAAACTCTTGAATTAGTCAAGCACTATTTTTGGAGCACACTATTTATAAAGAACTATACTCTATCCTGTGGAGAACTCAAACATTTAAACATGATCCCTTTAGGAACTTAGCTTTTAGTTGAGGGCATGAAGGATCACACAGTAGAACCCAATTGACAAAAGTCTACTTTTTCGTTATTTTTCTTATTTATTTATTTTTTTTGAGACGGAGTTTCGCTCTTGTTACCCAGGCTGGAGTGCAATGGCCCGATCTTGGCTCACCGCAACCTCTGCCTCCTGGGTTCAGGCAATTCTCCTGCCTCAGCCTCCTGAGTAGCTGGGATTACAGGCACGTGCCACCATGCCCAGCTAATTTTTTGTATTTTTAGTAGAGACGGGGTTTCACCATGTTGGCCAGGATGGTCTCGATCTCTTGACCTCGTGATCCACCCACCTCGGCCCCCCAAAGTGTTGGGATTACAGGCGTGAGCCACCGCGCCTGGCTTTTTTGTTTTTTAAATTCTGGGTGTTGCTCTCTTGCCCAGGCTATAGTGCAGTGGCGCAATCATGGCTTACTCCTGCCTTGATCTCTCAGGCTGAAGCAGTCCTCCCACCTCAGTCTCCTGAGTAGCTGGGACTATGGGTGCGTACCACCATGACTGACTGATTTTTTAAAATTTATTTTTGTAGAAACAGAGCCTCCCTATGTTGTCCAGGCTGGTCTTGAACTCCTGGGTTCAAGGGATTCTCCTTTTCAAAGTGCTGGGATAACAGTTGTGAATCACTGTACCCAGCCAATCTACATTTTTTACCCAAGTAAATTAGTTTATATAGTTACTGCATTTTGAAATTCTACAAGACAACTTTCTGTCTTCCTCTCTAGAGTCTCATCAAGTCCTAGCTCAACTGCTGGATACATTGCTTGCAATTGGCACTAAGCTACCAGAGAATCAAGCTATCCAGATGCGATTAGTTGATGTGGCCTGCCAGGTAAGGGTATAATGCTCTTCCTTCTTGAACTTGTTTGCATTCCTGGAAAGGTGGTAGGAGCTGTACAATCTACTCACATTCATCCTAAACCTCTAGCTGAGTACTGCTAAGGATCTTTAATGGTTTTAAAGAGCTACCTCATTTTTTTGTCTGTTGGTGTTGGATTAGGAATAAAGTTAAGTAAACTTGTTATAAACTGAATTTCCTCATCCTTTCAAAAGAAATGAAAATAATTACAGTATATGGTTACTGTGTATATTGTGCCTAATAATGCACTCTTCTTGTTATGGTGCTTTGTTTTCAGTTTTTCATTTGGTCTTCATAATCCTTCAGGTAATTGCTGTTTTACAAAGGTAATTGCTTCAGGTTATTTCTGTTTTACAAAGGTGAAAATTAAGATTTATGGAGTCTGATTTGTCTAAGTTTGCACAGCTAGGAGGTTGCAGTACCAGGGTATAATCTGTGTTTTTTCTGACCCCAAATTTGTTTTGTTTTTATCATGCTTCAATAAACAGACCAACTATACACAAGTAAATGTATGGAAAAAATATATAAGTTCTTTTCTGATTTTAAAATAAATATATATATTAATACATTAATTGTGCCTTTTGATTTAATTTGGAGGTTAATTAGCCTCTTTGTGTATGCACAGCAACCCCTAGAACCTTGTAGAATTGATTTTACTTTGGATCTTTTTGATAACTTTGAGAATATAAAAAAGACAAATGCATTTGAATTGTTAGAGTATCATATTCATGAAATTAGAAAACTATTTCAGAGACCCAGGAAAAATTATTTATCTTTAAAAAACCAAACATACATAAAACCAAAAACACTTTGACAAATACAATACTAAAAGCTTAAATGGGGCTGGGTGTGGTGGCTCACGCCTGTAATCCCAGCACTTTGGGAGGCCAAGGTGAGCGGATCATTTGACCTCAGGAGTTCAAAACCAGCCTGACCAACGTGGTGAAACCCCATCTCTACTAAAAATACAAAAATATTAGCTGGGCATGGTGATGCATGCCTGTAATCCCAGCTATTAGGGAGGTTCAGGCAGGAGAATTGCTTGAGTCCAGGACGGAGGTTGTGTGAGTGGAGATCACGCCACTACACTCTAGCCTGGATGATAGAGTGAGACTTGGTCTTTAAAAAAAAAAAAAAAAAAGCTTAAATGGAAAAAACTAGGGATTAAGTGTGTGGTAGAGTAAGTACATCTCCCCTGTGAGAGAAAATACATATCTGTAAAGTTTGCTTCTGAGAGTTGTTATAGAGAGCGGGTTGTGATATCTGCAGCAACTGTTTCTTAAATCTGCTTTAAATATATTTTTAACTATAAGATTTTTTATCATTATATATTTAAATATGTTTTTAGTTAGAAGAATTTGCACTCAGAAAATTTGGAAAGATATTGAAAACTCTAAAGAAAAATGCATTCATAATTTACTACCCAAAGATAATCATTATTAGTCTTTTGATGCATGGCTTTCTGATTTTTTTCTGTATGCAAATCATTTGCTATTGTTTTTTCTGTAAACACATAGTTGTAATCATATAATTTTGCTCCTTTTTTGCTTACATAAGCATTTTTCTTCTATATGTTTTATAAACATAATTTGTAATGGCTATGTGATACTGTGTCCAATAATTAAACCATAGTTTTTACCTATTTGCCTATTACTGAATATTTACATTGTAGCCATTTATTTAATTAGAAATAATACTGCAGGGAATATCGTTAGTCTATGTTTTCTGTATTTAAAATTCTTCCTGAAACACAGATTGTGAAAAGTAGAATTACTAAATTACTAATTGAAAACATTTAGAATTTATTTTCCTTTTTTTATTTTTAGAAGCATAGAGATGGGGTCTTGCTGTGTTGCCTAGGCTGGTCTCGAACTCCTGGGCTCAAGCGATCCTCTTAACCTTGGCCTCCCCATATGCTGGGATTACAGGCATGAGCCACTGTGCCTGGCCTGGAATTTTTTTTTTTTTTTTTTTTTTTTTTTTTTTTTTTTTTTTTTTTGAGACGGAGTTTCACTCATGTTACCCAGGCTGGAGTGCAATGGCACGATTTCGGCTCACCACAACCTCCGCCCCCTGGGTTCAGGCAAGTCTCCTGCCTCAGCCTCCTGAGTAGCTGGGATTACAGGCACGCACGCACCCCCATGCCCAGCTAATTTTTTGTATTTTTCGTAGAGACGGGGTTTCACCATGTTGACCAGGATGGTCTTGATCTCTTGACCTCGTGATCCACCCGCCTCGGCCTCCCAAAGTGCTGGGATTACAGGCTTGAGCCACCGTGACCGGCCTGGCCTGGAATTTTTTTAAGGCTCTGTTATTTGCTTTGTTTTGTTGTTTAAAAAGAGTCTTGCCCGAGATTACATGTGTGAACCACTGCACCCAGCTAAGACTCTTAATACTTCTTGTTAAATTGCTTTCTAAAGTGTTCCAATTTATATGCCCACAAGCAGTAAATGACAGTGCCTAATTTCACTGCATCATTCTAGCATTAAGTATTAATGCTTAAAAATCAAAGATAAGCCAGGCTCAGTGGCTCACACCTGTAATCCCAGCACTGTGGGAGGCTGAGGCGGGAGATCACCTGAGGTTGGGAGTTTGAGACCAGCCTGACCAACATGGAGAAACCCCGTCTCTACTAAAATACAAAATTAGCTGGGCGTGGTGGCGGGTGCCTGTAATCCCAGCTACCTGGAAGGCTGAGGCAGGAGAATTTCTTGAACCCAGGTGGTAGAGATGGCGGTGAGCTGAGATTGTACCATTGCACTCCAATCTGGGCAACAACAACAACAACAAAAATAAAATAAAAAAATAAAAATAAACTTGTTAATTTGATAGTTAGAAAATGATACTTCATTTTTTAAGAAATCTCTTTTTTGAAAAGACTGCTAGTGAGATTTCTTTTTCATATGTTTTTCCTCTATTTGTATTTCCTGTCATGGGAATGAACTTTTTTTTTTTTTTTTTTGAAGTGATGGATATATTAGCTTGATTGAATCTTTCTACAATGTATACACAGATGAAAACATCACATTGTATCCCATAAATATACACGTTTCCTGTCAGTTAAAAATAAATGAGGAGGCCTGGCACGGTGGCTCACGCCTGTAATCCCAGCACTTTGGGAGGCCGAGTTGGGCAGATCACGAGGTCAAGACATTGAGACCATCCTGGCCAACATGGTGAAACCCCGTCTGTACTAAAAATACAAAAAATTAGCTGGGCGTGGTGGCATGCACCTGTGGTCCCAGCTACTTGGAAGTTTGAGGCGGAAGAATTTCTTGAACCCAGGAGGCGGAGGTTTCAGTGAGCCGAGATTGCGCTACTGCACTCCAGCCTGGTGACAGAGCAAGACTCCGTCTCAAAATAAATAAATAAATAAATAAATAGGGAAAAAGGGGCCACGTTACACCTGTTCAAGCATATAATCTGACCTTGCTACTTACATATTGTCAAAATTCCAACTTAAATTTATTGTTACTCTAGTTTTAATGGTTTCAGAAATACAAAAGTTGCTAGATAAGCAATACCAACTTACCTAAATCTGCAAGAATGTTCAATTAAAATTTTATTTATAGAATCATACAGTCACTCAGTAAAACCACTCATATGAACACCAACCCAAATAAGTTCTTATTAATAAAATGCCTATATCGAAAGTAATACGTTGTAAGAACTGTACCTTAAATTGGCCATGGGGATGAACTGCAGTGTTGTAAAATATGAGCCAAAATGTTCATTCAGTAATTTTAATTACATCATAATTAAGTCCAGAGCTATGCTTTTGTGTAAGGTTGAATAAGGACACAACTGAGGAGAGAAAATTGCTTTCTAAAACATCATTTACTGCAATAAGTTACTTTATAGTAACATCGCAAGACTGCAGATACTGAATAATTATGGTATATTTTATTTTTTTTGTCTAATGAGCCCGAATAATTATGGTATTTCTTTTACTTTTTCTTTATTTTTATTTTTATTTTATTTTTTTGTAAAGATGGGGTTTCACCATGATGGCCAGGCTGGTCTTGAATTCTTGACCGCAGGTGATCCACCCAGCTTGGCCTCCTAAAGTGCTAGGATTACAGACGTGAGCCACCGCGCCCAGCCTAATTATGGTATTTCTAAGTGGCATTTATTGCTATATTCTGGTAGGAGTGAAATTTCAAGACCAAAATCATAGCTGGTCGTGGTGACACATGCCTGTAATCCCAGCTACTCAGGGGGCTGAGGCAGGAGAATCACTTGAACCCAGGCAGCGCAGGTTGCAGTGAGCCAAGATCACACCATTGCACTCCAGCCTGAGCAAGAAGAGTGAAACTCCATCTCAAACAAACAAACAAAAAAGGACTAAAATAAGAGATTGCTGAATTTCATATACCCATACTAAAAGAAAAACAAGATTTGGAACAAGAATTAAATTCAGATTTTACCTATTTCTACCAAACCTCTCAGCTGACTCACCTGAAAGATGTGCAATGCTTACCTGTCTTGCAGTCATCGTTAGGACTAAATGAATACAGGGAAACAACAAAGCTCCAGTAGGTACTTGGTAAATAGTAGCTGTTAGATGTACCCAGAATTCTTCATTAAGACTTTTTTCAGTCTTTCTGATAACCATTAAGTATCTACACATTATAGGATAGAATACTGTATTTTCCTCTACAGATCAGATTTTACTTCTGTGGTAGAGCTGAATTGATTTGGCAGGTGGAAGGTGCAGATTTCTCCAGGATATTACTTTTACTATATCTTATTCCTCCCTGAACTATTTGTAAATAATCCCAAAGAGTTTCTATACGCCTGTTACCAACTGAAAATTACTCAGAGGTCTACAGTAACAGTCTTTAAGAACTGTGAGATTATATGTTTCCTGAAATTTCAAGACCCTGTCTGTTCAGCATACTTTAAGTTTTCTGTAATATAAAGGTTTTTGTGTGCTTTTTTGTTTTATTTTGCTTTGTTTTTTTACTCTATAG